AACACCAGTGATTCTGTCCCTATTTTTAGGCAAAGTCAGTTTGATAAAATTATCTGGAATGCCTAATATTTTTTGGTCCAATGCTTCAAATGTCTGCTCGATTGCCAACGCTTATTTCAAATTATTCCCTAGCTCTTCAAACGGAAATATATGCACCGTACAAAATGCCCGTTTTTGACAGATTTAGTTCTTATATTAGACGGTTTAAAGCTGTTTTGTTACAAAAAAAAACGGTTCTTCACCATAATCATAAATGGATTAAAACCGTCAGTTCCAATTCAAAATTTTGCTGTTCAATTTTATTTCCATATAATTTTCATAAATTATTTTAGGGCTTTGAACAACATAAAAATAATAAATCCGTATCGTATAATACCAAATAAAATCGTATAACTGCGAGTCAACTTTATTGTGAAATTGATACTCTACCTGATTATTATCTATTTTAGATGTAAATGCTTGGCAAGTTAATTTGCCAGACATTTTATGCAGATGCACCACGATAAATATAAATTCCATAGTTAAATATTATTTCAATATGCAAGACTTGGAAAGTAAAGATTTCTAGAGATTTTTCTTCACAATAAAACATTAGAGCCTCGGGTGACAGCACTGTTAGAAATTTCTCGGAAAAAATGGCTAAATAACAATGTATTTAATTGTTATTTTACCATATTTAAATAAAACAGTCAAATACCCATAAATGAGATGGTAATGAAACTATTAACAGGGAGAAAAATCATTTATTAACTATTTTTACCCAAAACGGTTAAATAACAATAATTTTTCAGCACCAACTAAGCCCACTTAATGGACAACTTAGTTCCTTGCAACCGCGTACATGTTATAGCCGAGAGAGCTAATCTGTCAATCGTACGACCGACAGAACGGGGGTTCTAGTCCCAGCGTTGACACCTCCATTCCCTTTAACACACATGAAGAATTTTCAGTGTTCTGGACTCTCCACTGTCCATTATTAAATGAGCTCCAATGTCCAGTTAATTGCATATCAATGTCCAATTGCATATCAATTGCATATCAATGTCCAGTCAATGTCCAGTTCTAGCTCCAATGTCCAGTTAATTTTTTTTATGGTTTTGAAACCACGGTAGTTATAAATGGTTAAGAAACCGTTTAGTTTTGTATTCTTGATTTTATAACCATTCTGGATGTAAACGGTTTCAAAACCGTAAAGGTGAGAAATATTCTTTGCCGTAGACTTTATGGTTAATCGAATGGACAGACTGCTGACGGTTATTTTACCATAATTTTAGAATGAAAATTCTAACAGTGTGGGGACAAAGTGCTCGCTTTTTAATATGGTGAGCCAGGTTCGAATCTCAGCTGCGACTAGTCAAACGATGCTCCCCTTCAGCCCCGACCACAATGCTGACATAAAATATCATTGTCTAGTGTAAGCACAGAAGTACTTCGTAAATTTCACATAGAAAACGTATTCCCTTTTGTTAAAAATACGGTTGTGACTACGGATTTTCTTCGTAACTTCGACAGAAAAAACTTGTTCTTGTATGGTAATAAAAAACCATTGCGAGTATGGATTTATTTAGTCTTTTTTTCTTAAAAAACCTGTTCTTGTATGATAAGAAACAGTTGAGAACGGATTTACTTAGTAAGTCTCATAATTTTGCTCAATAAACTGAGAGGCCAGTTTAGAACAGTAAATTTTAGGGGATTTTATTAACAGAGTGTTAGATGATTTTATTTTATTCTATAACCATAGTTGAACAACCGACCTATTCTTTTTTTGAGTTTCTACTAATGTTTAACTCCGTAGTTTTGTAATTTCAAACACAATCCAGATGACAAGGTAACACCTGGATCAATTATTGGGAGAAATTTGCCTTCGTGGGGTACTTTATGATGGAACTAACACGCATTTGAGTTGCATGGACAGGAAAACCACGAAAATTCCCCACGGTTAGCCAGAATTCAAGGGCACTCTAACTCATGATCCGTTTACCACTGAGATATTTTCTGTCAGTACTGTGATCGGTGCGAGACGGGTGCGGAATTCATATCAATCAGCAATCGCTGGGATTCGAACCAGGATCTCCTCATTGAAAGACGAACTCTCGATCCCCCGAGCCACCACGGCTGTGTGTTAGATGCTTAACAATTTTGATTTTAATTTAATTTCAAATCATTTGCACGTTTTCTCTATTTTCTTAAATGTCACACAATTATGAAAATACAGACGTTTTAATAAAGTACTTCTGCACTAAAATGCAACTGAGATCCGCCAAAAAATTTCATTATATTTATCTTCTATTTCAAAAAATCTTTAATAATATGTTACTAAGGGGCTTTATTAAATGTGAAATTGTCAGCTGCATTTGAATATAACTATCCATTTCGGTTTTTGACTACTATTTTTAAACCGTAAGTTAGTAAGTTAATAAATTGGTTATTTAGTATTTTTTTTTTAGTTAAAAGCATTATACGAAGCAGAGTTTCTAATTTTCTTCAATCAAATTAAGATCTTTGATTAACAAATGTACAAAATTTCAACAAATAGCTAGAAATGTTCAATAATTTCACCATCAGAAATTAAACCAAGATTAATTTTATGAATTTATAATTTTTTTAATGCCTTGTAAAATAAAATCTCCATATAGATTATAATAATAGAAATGGGAATTTTTCAAAGAAAGTGTGTTTGTCTTCCTTTTGCGAAAAAAAATTTGCATTTTTTTTCTGCTAACAAATTTTAGCTAATACATTATGCTTTTAAAATTTCAAAACTGCTCGGAAAAATATAAATTTCTTTAAAATGTAACAATTTAAGTAATTTTCATGTCACTTGTAAACCGGTTATTAAACCAAAATTCAAGAATTAGCTTATAAGATAGTTAGTCAACCGAAAATTGGTTTATTAACTTACAATTTATTGTTTAGTAAACCTATAACAATGCAAAAACCAGTCTGCTAACCGGGCGCTAAACCAAAAATAAGTTTATAAATCCTTTATTTATTGTCATGTAAAATAAAGTCTCCATATAGAGAAACAAGAACATAGTAACTTAAAAATGAATTTTTTAAAGGCAATTGCCTTCATTATTCGAAGATAGAGTTTGAATATTTTTTACTGAAAAATCAGACTTACTGATTTTTTAGTTAGACTGATTAGTTTGAGCTGTTTTGTTCCCTTTTTTAAACTCTGAAAAGCAGTACTGTAAGTTTTTTTTAACTTCAAAACTGCTGAGTTACTAGGAGTCTTCAATAAATTCAGCATAGTTAGCAAAGTAAAATGCAACTATTTATCTTCTCCTCTAGAGCCATGACACCCCCAACCGTGAACTCAGAAAAGTTGTTTTCGCCTGGATATGGCAACTCATTCAAAAGAATATAACAAATGGCAGATATTCCTTCGAAAAGCAGATATTCGAAAGAAAATGCTGCATAAAAGAAAGAAAGAAAGAGATCTAAGAAAAATAAAAATGAGCCAATTGTAAAAAGAGAACGAATGGAATAAAACATTTGATTTTTTTATTCATAGGGGGACAAAATATATGTTTATGGAAACAGGTGAAACAAAGGCTTTTCATCAGATGTTTTGTTTTCTTTTTTTAAACTCTGAAAAGCAATTTTTTAAAGAAATATCCATCAATTACTTTAAAGTAGAGATAATTATTTTGACGGATATTTGTTTTGAGTTATTTAAGAAGTAAGTAAAACACCCTGGGGGATTAGATAGTTTTGAATATATTCGAGAACAAAGAAAGTGGCGGGACTTATGAGAAAGTGATAGATTTGAATTTAAAACCTTTTGACAAAAAAGAAATAGCTTTTCGTTGAAGTATTGAACGAAGGGTAATGTATTTAATATTTGCATTTGATAGATTCGAAATGTTTCGGTAAGAAATAAGCGAATTGATATTTAAACCATCACCGAGATTTATTCATTTAGTCACTTTAAATTGAATGTTTCAATTAACAATCTATCTTTGGGTTCATATTCTTTTCCTGTATATTATATCTTTAATGTGGAAAAATAATTAACTTTTTATAATTAAACGTTTAAAATCTTTAAAATAATTAAACGCTTTTTCTATAAAGTTTAAAAACGCAATTTAGCAAAAATAGCACAATAATTGAAGTAATCTAATTATGTTAAAACTCTCTCTCTCTCTCTATCTATCTATTTATCTATATATTTATATGTATATAATAAATAAATAAATACAAGAAAAAACGAAGAAAGTTAAGAAAAACAATAAGTTTCATTTTTTCCGGTTTTTTTAAATAAGATTTCATCCTTTTCTTTTTTTTTAAACTGTTGTTTGTCATTTTTTTACTTATTACTTCCGCCCCCCCTTTTTTTTTCATATGTCTATAATTTTCCTTTGTTTTATCTTCATTTCATATATATATATATATATATGTATATATATACAGTGAAACTTCTCCTAAAGGCCACCTCTACTTTAGGGCCACCTCTATTAAGGGCCAATATTTTGAGGAACGAAAATTTTCCCCTTAGACATAATGTCAATTTTCCTCCCATTAGAGGGACACATTTTCCTGACTACCTCCAATAAAGGCCATTTTTTTAAAAAAAAATTTCTCAAAAAATCTATTTTTTTACATTTTTCTTCTCGCAAAGGCCATAAATCTAAACAGGTGTGTCCAATTCTTTAACTAAAAGTTTTGTAATAGAAACAATATTGTTTTTAAAACTTTATGTGGTGAATCAGCTAATGTTGATAAAGATTTGTGTCAAGACAGGAAATCAAGGCTTCCAATCATTCTGGCAGGCTATGAAGATCGTGATGTTTATAACTTAGATGAGACAGGACCTTTTTTCCGTGCCTTCCTACCAAAAGTTTAGTTGAGAAAGCAGAAGTGGCCAAAGGAGGAAAACAAGCTAAACAGAGTTTCACTGTGTGTTTTTGTGCTAATGCTGCTTTTGAAAAGGAAAGTCCGTCGTCATTTGGCACTCTAAGAAACCTCGTTGTTTGAAAGGTAAAGATTTATCACAAATGGGAGAAAAATATCATTATAATAAGAAGACATGGATGACCATGGAAATATTTAAAGATTGGTTGATTAGTTTTGACAATAAAATTACAAATCAAGGTAGAAAAGTGGTTCTTTTTTTGGATAATGCACCATGTCACTCATTTTACGAAAACTTGAAAAGTGTAAAGCTTCAACTCTTGCCTCCAAATACTACGTCTGAAATTCAACCTCTAGACCAAGGAGTTATACGCTGCTTTAAATTAGAATACCGACGTTTTGTTTTGCGAAGACTCCTTTCTCTTATAGATTGCGATAAAAATTCATCACAAATCATTCAATCTATAACAGTATTATATGCCATTCGGTGGATTAAACACGCCTGGGAAAATGTAAAAGGACAGACAATTGTAAATTGCTTTAAGAAATGCGAGCTAAGCAATACAGCTTTAGAGGCCACTATCGATGCAGCTGATTTAGAAAATGAAGTGGTTGAACTTTCAAAAGCTGCTGCAATTCAATATGACCCAAATTCAGATAAATATGAAAATGGGCTAGAATGTTACCATGATTTATCGGAAGATTGGGAGAAAAGATTTATAGATGATTTAGATACAGGTAAAGCATTAATATTTATTGTTTTAAGTTTTGAAAAAATACAATACATATTTTTGTGAACTGATTTGTTCAATTTTTTCAGGAGTTCAGTCTGATTCAGATAATGAGAATGAGTCCCCCGTGCCATATTTATTTAACCAAGAAACGCTAATAGAAGTAAATAAACAGATATCCCAATCCAAGGCATTAATAAATGATGCGAATTTAANGAAACCTTAGGTGCAGAAGCTAAAATTTTAAAATTGTACTATAATTTTATTTTGCAATTAAAAGTATACGTGATATATATTAGAGATAGGTGTAAGATGTTACAGAAAAAATTCAGATACACAGACTTAATCAGAATATTATAAAAAAATCCGTAAGGCCAAGCCACCCCTGACTTCCCACCTTAAATTTGATTTAATAAGTTGTTTCACTTTAATAAGTTATTAAATATGTCAAAATGTATTTTGTTTTCTATGTATATGTGCGTTTTCCTTCCATCCAGTTAATCAATTTTTTTAAATAATATTTTCTCTTGAATATTCTCGCGCCACCCCTCTGGTGTGCTCGCGCCCACCTAGGGGGGCGCGCCCCACAGGTTGAGAATCGCTGGTTTAAGAAGACGTTGTCATTATTGAGAATAATTGGATTGATTCCGGATTTAACCGTTTGGTGGTTAACAGGTAACTGCGTGCAAAACCATAGTGGTTATGTGAAACTGTAAAACTTACGAAGTAAATCCGAATTCTGAAAGGTATTTTCACCATACAAGAAAAAAAAAATTCTGAAATAGTTAAAAGTTAATTTCGTATTCATAACTGTTTACGGATTAACCGGACTGACTATGTATTTAAGTACTTTTTGCCATTACATCAAATTTATTGTCTGAAAAATCAAATACAAACTAAAAGACTGATAATAGAAATTCATTTAAGTTTAATTCAACTATGGATCTTGTTTTGATGATTTTAAGCCTATATTTCTCAATAGTTTAGTCGAAGAATTTTTATACCATATTTTGCCATCACTTTAACATTAATTCCTGACCTCTACTATATATACTTTTGCAAATTCAGTTTTCAATTTAAAAAAATTTATATTAAGGGTGAAGATTATGAACACCATAATTTTGCTGTGATTGTAATAAACGTCAAAGCAACATTAACATTTATTTATTCTTACGTGAAGGTATGCTGTATATGAACGTATGCGTATATGAGCGTATGCTGATTACAAAGATGGTTGATATCCCCTTATCAAATTGAAGAACAGATATGAAAAAATTAAGAGTTAAGTGGAGGAAACAGGTAAATTGTATTATCAGGAGTAAACATTAATCAGAAAAAATCACATATAGTGGTTGCATCTTTACAAGGGCATTCAGTGTAACAGAACTGTCATTGCTTTTTCCTTAATTTCAAAGCAATTCATTTACATTTATTTTGAATATGCTTGCATAATTTTTATTTTAAATTAGGTAGTGGTAAATAAAATAAGGCAAGGAATTATTAGCCCAGCCATCTGAAATTGTTCGGTTACAGTTTTTTTCTTCTTACCCTGATTAGAGCCAAACTGAAAATGTCACTTGTTTGGTTCATCCACTCAGTTCCTCAAGTTAAAGAGGGGCGGCAGAAACCCGCTGCTTCCCCACTATGCAACATTCTGCGGGATGTCCCATATAATTAGAATTCTGAAATTTAATTCTAACAATGAGATAAAGTTCTTAATTTAAATAAAATGGTAATTTGAAGCATGGGCAGTAAAAAACTAAAGCAATTCACACTTAATTTGATGACAAGAGCACTGAAATCTCCCTTTCACTGTGACAAATCTCTCTATCACTGCAATAGCTCTCTCTATCATTGTGCAATAGAGAATTTGTTGAAAACAGATTAAAACAAATTAAAATTAATTTCATTATTTTTGAAACATTGTAAGACTTATGGATTTTCACTCTGGCAAATTTCATTTGCACTCTGCACTGGAGTGATATCTAAATTAGATCGCTACGCACAAACGATTTAAAAATAATGCCGAACCGAAATCGCAGGAGGATACTACATTGAGTAGAAATGAAATATCAGATTTTTTTAATCAAAACCACTGGGCAAGTTAATTTTTTTTATTAGTGAGTAATTTTAACTAAGTCGTGTAACTGAGTCGCGATGGCTCAGGAGAGATGGCTGGTCGATACGAATTCCGCATTCAGCTTGCCCCGACCACAGTGCTGACGTGAAAATATCCTTTGTGGTAGACGGATCATGGATTAGAATCTTTTTTCCATCAGGCTAACCACGGGAGGTTCTCGTGGTTTTCTTATCCATGAAACACAAATGCGAGTTAGTTCCATCAAAAAGCTCTCCACGAATTCAAATTTCTCCCAGTACTTGATCCAAGAGTCTCTTTGTTTTCTGGATTGGGTTCAAAATAACAAGGCTACGGTGTTGAACTTTAGTAGTTTATACATCGAAGGAAAAAAATAAATCTAACACCTTAACAGTTCATTCACTTAGTTAAGAGAAAAATCGAATGAAAGGACAAAAGATCACCCTCTTTATGAATATTTCATCGACTTGGCATGCCTCATCAATCCAGTGATTGTATATTCAGAAATTAGTGTTGGCATTCAAAACAAATAAACGTCGCAAAATATCGTGATGATTCAATTTGGAAAAGACATCCTCCTTAAGAAAGTTAGCAGTTGTCGAAGTGGAAATACTTTCACGACAAGCTTAAACCTAAATGATTCCTAATGGGATGAAATATTTTCACTCCGAGAATTTCTGCTGTACAATTTGCATTATTTAAAATATAGTCATTTGGATTTTAAAAAGATGTTGTAAGATGTGAACCGTATCCTGCGTCAGTAGCCCGGAGACGACGGAACTATCACCGAAACTTTAAGGCATCTCTTATCCTATGGAACCCTATGTAATCTATGGAAGTAATGCTGTGGAATCTTATTGAAGAAAGATCTTTAGAACATTTAACCAACAAAATTTTTTATTTATTATTTTTTTAATGGCGGACACTTGGGATGTATTGTCCCATTGGCTCTTATGCCAGAACTGCTACTCTCTTCTCGTTACCCAGTGGGCACCTGCGGCGAAGCATCACCCACGTCACACAACCAAAAACCCGTTTATAGGGCGGGTCATATTTACATAATCACACAAAGGAGAAAGGACATAGAACACAGAGAGAGAGAGAGAAAGAAGCATCCATGCCCTGAGCAGGATTCGAACCCGCAACCATCGGCTCCGCGGTCAGGCACGCTAACCACTCGGCCACCTGGTCGACACCTATACAATTTTAATGTAAATAAAAAAATTACAATAGTGTTAAAAACAAAACACCTCATACTATACAGCATGCTGTTTTTAGTTTAAGAAAAGTTTTTTTCTAGAATTGTAAGCTTTATGTGCTGGAGAAAAAATTAATTTTAAATTTAAAAAAGGTAAAATCGTTTTAAAGTTTTTTCGATAAATAATTTTAGTTTACTAGTATTCAGGACAATTGTCTCAAACCTTTATTTTTTAAATATGTATTTAAGTTATAGGAACTTTACGTTTTAGTCTTTGTAAATTAAAGAAATATAGGTTTTGTGATAAAATTGAAAAAATTTAGTTTCAGCATTTTATAATTTTTAGAGAAATATTTCAATGGTTTCTTATAAAATAATTATTTATACGAAACATGATTTTTAAATCATTTCTATTGTGAAAAGTAGTATATATATATATAT